TATTGTTTATAAATTTGGGATAAAATCTTTTTTTAAATTAGTGGGCTATGTATAATTGTTTTGGGTATACTTTAGGCCTGAATAGGTGAATTCACTAAAATTTTGGAGTTGTTAAATCTTTTAAAATGGAGATCCGAAAAAATTTTATTAAAAGTGGAAATCTGATAGTCATACTAATGAGAATTCATATTTTTAATATTCTGTATAATAAAGAAATGAATTTTAAATATCTAAAGAACCATTATTGATTAAAAGTACGCTAATTAGTGGGCTAAATTTAAGAAAATTTTAAACGCTATTAATGGGCCAAATGTTTGAAAGAGCTTCCAAAGACCACGTTAGGATGAACTTTCAAACCCACTTGTCATTATTCTTCACTTCAGTGGCCATAAATTTACTCATTAGGCTTATGACCTAAAGATTCTCTTCACCTCTACACAGAGGAAGCTTGAAACAGAAGAATGGAAGACTATATTTGACAACAAAGATCTTTTCATCAATATCGCTCAAGATCAGATTCATGTTAATACTCCACGCATATTTAGGTCACTCAGGTCGGCATCATGTTGGACAGGATTCCAGGCCATGGGTTTGTCACCAAACGCACTACTGTGAGTTTGCTTAAGCTAATTTCAAATTTATGACAAGTGTTGGAGAAACGAAACAGGTTAGTGGTAACTAAATTTAAATTGTGTGATGAATGCAAGGTAACTACTCACTACGGTTATTTCTATTCTCGTTTATGTTTTGGATGTATTATCATATGTTTGTTGTTGGAATTGTTTGTGTGTTAGAATATCTTCATGTTTCAGACAGAGAGCAATGACTCACATGTTTGTCCATGGAGCTTGGGTGAAGAAAAGAGTCACAACTTGACGAACTGCATATAGACATATTCGTTAACATAACAAAATACAAGAAACTGAAAAACAAATTGTCTGTCATGGCTTAAGAATTAGTCCTAGATATCCAATAGTTAGATATAGACATATAGTCAATGTATGCACAAACCTTTCCTTGGATCTGCACTGCACACACCATCAACATCTGTCAAGATAGTGCACATACCATCAACATGTGCACTGCACACCATCAACACCAATTGGACCAATAACGAGTTTGTCTACGTAATTGTTAGTTAAATCAGTTGGTTGGATTTTATTTTAGTTCATTGTTTGTACATAAATGGTAGGATGTTAGTTCGGTTACTTCAGTTACATTTATACATTTTTATTGCATATTGCTACAAATATAAAATAAAAAGACTCCTACTGAAAAAAGTTAGATTTTTCTTTGACATTACATATTGATTTCTGACCACAAATTCTTAGCTACATATATATTTTCACATTTCGTTGTTTTTAGACCGTAGAAAATTATACATGATCTAATGCGTTGAATAAAATGAAACTACAGACGACTCAAAGCTCAAACCTCCTAACTCACAGGGACTACTCCAGAGAAGCATAACCGATTGATAATGTGATGTATAAGAAGCTCGTTTTCCAATTGTTAATGGCGTTAACATAATGTTGGAGTTTCAAGTTGGTGAGGCCACTATTGAGGATTCAATTGATATTGAGACTGTTTCCTTCAAATTCAACTTTACGATAGTCTAAAGACCAAGTAGATTGTGTAGTCCACAAGAGAATTGCATTTACGGCCTCCTCTGCTGTTGTCAAACATTTTAAATGTGGACTTCAAAGATATAACCTTTTATGTTTCTTAGAACGTTACATTTTAAATGTCTATCTTTTCTTTGTCAAACATTTTAAAAGGTCTACCAGTGTGTAAAGAAAAAAACACAAATTAACAACTAACAGAAAATCTGTTGGTTAATCAAAAATGCTTCTCTACCAAAATGCTCTTAATTAAAAGACTCCACAACAGTCAGAACCCAAAGAAACCGAGCTCGCTAGCTTTTTCCTTCTCAAAGGTTTCAAAATACTGATATATGATCGTCACCGCGAGTAAGATTCCAGTTCCGGACCCAATGGCTCCCATGAAATCAGCCAAAACAGTGAGCGCACCGATGCAGACTCCTCCAAAAGCAGCTGCTGTTGGGATATACCGATTCAGCTCCTTCTGCAAGTTAGACTCTCTGTGTCCCGGCATAACCATTTGTTGTTCCTATCACATTTTACAATCTTTCAGTTTCAGTTGCCTGTGTTGAAAAGTATTAAGCAATGGAGAGAAACGATTTAGGAATACCTTGAGCTGCTTAGCTACATCTCTAGCAGAAGACCCTGAGACTTCAATCCAGGTCTTTGAGAAGAGGGCACAAGCAGTGAGCATGAAGACGATATAGAACAGAGCATGGAATGGATGAGCTGCCATCTCGGAGAAGCTGTAACCGTGGAGAAAAAAATATTCAGAGAATTGAAAACCGAGTTATCGTTATATTGAAGTGGACATTAGTTGTGTGTTACCTTGCTGGAGCTGTGATTAAGTAAGCAAGACCACTAACTGGTATAGATTGTCCACTGTACTCTGACTCTTTCCATTGTCCCAATAGGTTTACGAAGAAATTTCCACTGAATTTCCTGTAGAGTAACTGTTGACAAGGAGATGCAAAGTGTCAACTTTATGTTCCGAGCTATAGTTCCTTTACGAGGAAAAAGAAAAGAATACATAAAATATACCTGAGAGATGAAGTAGAGGTTTGAGACGAGAGCAGATTGGAGAATGATTGGCATGTTTGAGGTGTAGAACAGCTTGATCGGGTAAGAACCCTGTTGGCCACGAGCACTCTTTGATCTCACTGGCAACACAACACGGAAGCCTTGGAAGTAGATAACGATCAGGAAGATCAAGACTGTTGCAAGCAAGTTGGTAACATTTGGAAGGTTTTGCCTATAGAAAGCTTGTCTGAGTGCAGCAACCTTATTGGATTTAGTTATCAGCATATGGAATAATGCAATCACAGCGCCTTCGAACTCAGCTCCACGCCCGGTGTTGATCGTAGTAGGACTAAACGCTTTCCAGATAATGCTCTCACTGTGCTACCACAATCAACTCAAAAAGTTTAAGAATGTCGTCTCAAAGACGAAAACTTTAATGTTAAAATGAGCTTTTAACATACCAGATATTGGTTGCTATGAAAAGGGAGATACCAGAGCCAAGTCCATATCCCTTTTGAAGAAGCTCGTCAAGGCAGATAACGATAATACCGGCAAAGAAAAGTTGGAGGATAATCAGAATGGCATTGCCAACACCAAGCTGACCAACAGGACCGTACATTCCCGAAAGAACATACGCAACAGCTTCACCAATAGCAATCAAAATCCCAAGAAGCTTCTGTGCACCATTCCTACAAAACACAACCAACAACATGAGACAACCGTTTCTAACTCTAAGCTCTGCTTCAAGAAAATCACCATATAGAGCATACTTACAAGAGAGCACGATCCTCACGGACATTGTTGTCGACTTCGATTATCTTCGACCCTGCTAAGAGTTGCATAACGAGTCCAGATGTGACAATCGGAGTAATACCGAGCTCCATAACGGTTCCACGGTTCGAAGCGAGAATGACACGCATCCAATAGAACGGATCAGCACCGGTCGTAGAGTGAATCCCGTAGAGTGGAAGCTGACTACAGACAAGGAAAATGAAGAGAGAGATCACAGTGTAGATCACTTTCTCTCTAAATGGAATCTTCCTGTCTGCACTTTGCACCTCTGGAAGAAAAGCCAAGAATGGCCTAACCAAATGCAAAACTCGAAACCCTCCTCCCATTGTAACTTATCGAATTTATAGACTTTAAGCTTAAGCTTCTGCAAAAGGAAGCAAAAATGCGAATTGAGAAAGAAGATACAAAACGTAAAGAGATCTGTGTGTTCCCAAAATTGATATACTCTACAATGTAATCAATCAGAGCAAGAAATTTGTTCTCGATCTATCTCCAAAAACCAGATCTAACATGAAATCTCAGATCCGCAATGCAAAAAAATTTGAAACTTTCAGGGATTAGATCCGAATTTCTGAATCTAGGATTATCAATCTCTTGGAGTTGAGATCGACACAAACTTGCGTCTAGAGAAACGAAATCAAACGTTGGTCTAAGAGGGAAAAATCGAAGAAGCTTGCTTACCTCTACGAGTT